GTGGCTGGTCTATAAATAATAACTCTATTTATTACTGTTCATTGGGAATTCATATGTGCCAGCCCCAATGCTATGCCATCCACAGTAACACTGTCCAGTAGACTCTGTGATGACGGGCATACTCTATCTCTGCACTATCTAAGATATGTGATTATTGAATCTTTGAATTGTGGCTATTGGGACTAAAGAATTGAATTTTTTTCTTTTCTTTTAATTATATAAACTTAAGTATTCATACTTGCCATGTTAGACAGAGCAAGTCTAAGAGTCTCAATTATAGTGTTTTATAAAATCTTTATAACATTTATGAAGTATTAGTCATTTTGCTGATAAAGAGATTTAAACCTTCTGAGGTTACTTGAGGTCATGTAACTGATAAGTAGTAGAGGTGGGATCTGAACCCAGATCATTCGACTTTAGAACAAGTGCTCTTTTTGTTGTTGTTAATCCTCACCAGAGAAATTTTTTTTAGTTGATTTTAGAGAGTGGAAAGGAGGGGAGAGAGAGAAGAAGAGACACACACACACACACACACACACACACAATTGGTTGCCTCCTGCATGCACCCAACTGGGGATCGAGCCTGCAACCCAGGCATGTGCCCTTGACTGGGAATCAAACCCAAGATGCTTTGGTGAGTGGGCCAATGCTCTAACCACTGAGCCACACCAGCCAGGGCCAGAACAGCTGCTCTTAATCACTTCCCACAGAAAAATAGAGCCCAAAGAATACTCTGTCAGTAGTTGAATTGTACCGGGCCAGGGATGATGCTAAAACTGGCAGACTTGGATACTGCTATTACTAGAGTGGTTTATTCTGTCATAGACGGCCTTGAGATATCACCCAGGGGCCAGCATAACTGTTAATTCTGGAATGGAATTGAGGTATGACTGAGACCATGGGAAGCACTGAGATGTGTCCAATTGAGAGTAATCCTGATGAAGCCCCAGATGAATCATGGCCTCCAGGCTCTGTTCTCTTATAGGGTAGGACCATTTCCTTTACTCTGGTGCCCCCAGCACCAACCCCATGGTTCCAAAGAATATCACTCAATAATCATAGAAAGCTCAGAGCAAAATCATCATTTAGGCCAACCCTCAGATTACCTAAGCACTACAACTGGTTCCACTTAAATTCATAATGTTCTCTGACAATCTGATAACACATCTCGAAAATGTTTACTTTCGGATAATTTCATGCTTTATTTCAAATGTTCAGCACCCTCTGCCCACGTTTCATCCTAGGCTGATGATCTTTTGTAGCAGATCTATGCTGGCTTTTGGTTCTCCAGGATCTGAACCTATTTGTAATCCCCCATTGTGTGGTTCTTGGTGAAAGGCAAAGAAAATAAAAGGGTCAGAGGGTCAGAAGTCAGAGGGGTCACTTTCTCACCTGAGCTTAGGACTTAGACTCAAGCATATGACCTAGGGTTGGCCAATCTGGGACTCCCAATCTGGGAGTCCTGAACTAGAGAGTTCTGACTTCTGAACTAGAGAATCCAAGGCCCAGGGTGCTTTAGAAGTTATTCATAGTGGTGTCATCGAAGAGTGGTTCTGTGCCGGCAGCTTCATCAAAGGAGTTTTCACCAGGCTGTTCCAGTCTGTGCTAGTCCCGTGGCATATGAAGATGACTCTCCAATTTTTATTTATGATGTTTATCTCACCACTGAGCTCCAAAATTGTATATTCAGCTGCTTACTTAATAGTTCCACTTAGACGTATAACAGGCATCTCATATATTACTTGGCCAAAACAAAAACTTTTTGCTTTTTTACAAAACTTTTTACTTCCTGGCAGAGCCGAGTCTGAGCAGCGCCCCAGCCTCCTCCCTCCTCTCCACACCTTGCTCTCCCGGCCTGCCTTCCCTGCCACCTGCCTGTTCCCCAGAACTTCTTCCGCTATGGCCACCCCGGTGAGTTCCCATTTAACAAAGGCATCAAGGAGGTGTACATGTCCATGCCTCAGGATGACAGAGTCCAAGCTATGTACAGGAGGAGGACTTCAATGCGAGATCTGGACCCTGGACAGTGAGCCCAAGTGTACAGAACAGTTGCCCAAGTGGAATTTTGATGGCCTTAGTATTTTAGTCTGAAGGCTCCAACAGTGACATGTATCTTGTCCCTGCTGCCATGTTTTGGGAAGCTTTCTGCAAGGACACCAACAAGCTGGTGTTCTGTGAAGTCATCAAATACAGCTGAAAGCCTGCAGAGACCAATTTTAGGCACACCTGTAAACAGACAATGGACTTGGTGAGCAAAAAACACTCCTGGTTTGCAATGAAGCAGGGATATACTCTTATGGGCACAGATGAACACCCTTTTGGTTGGCTTTCCAGTGGCTTCCCTGGGCCCTGAGGTCTATACTATTGTGGTGTGGGAGCAGACACAGCCTACGGCAGCTATATTGTGGAGGCAGGCCTGCTCATATGTTGGCATCAAAAATCCCTAGGACAAATGCCAAGGTCATGCCCACCCAGTTCCAGGTGGCCTGTTTCATTTAGCACCGAGGATGTGAAGACTGGAGTGACAGCAACCTTTGACCCCAAGCCCATTTTGGGAACTAGAATAGTGTGGGCTGCCACACCAACTTCAGCACCAAGGCCACGGGAGAAGAGGCTGGTCTGAAGTACATTGAGGAGTCCATCCAGAGGCTGAGCAAGTGGTACCAGTACCAATCTGAGCCTACAATCCCAAGGAGGGCAGTGACAATGCCCAGTGCCTAACTAGGTTCAAGGAAACCTCCAACATCAATGGCTTTTCTGCTAGCTTGGCCACCCGTAGCACTAACGTCCCCAGGCTGTTGGCCAGGAAAAGAAGGGTTACTTTGAAGACAGGTGCCCCTCTACCAACGGTGGTCTCTACAGGGTGACAGAAGCCCTCATATGAATGTATCTTCTCAACGAAACTGGCAACGAGCCTTTCCAGTACAAAAACCAAGTGGACTAAACTTGCAGCCATTGAACTCCTTCTAATTAATTCTTCAGCCACTCCCCCCTCGTCCCCCTTTCAACTGTCATAATAGCTGTAACTCAAAGGGTGGAATATCAAGGTCTTTTTTTATTTCTTGTGAAAAACAAAACAAAACAAACCTTTTTACTCCCTAAGTCTTTCCTATCTTAGCAAATGGCACCATCATCCACCCAGTTGCTCAAATAAAAACAACCCTGTGATACATCTGTGATTTCTCTTTTCCTCTTAACGCTCACATCCAATTCAATGTGAGTCCTGTTGACTCTACCTTCAAAGTACAGTGTCTTCACTTAACACTGTCTATAGGTTCTGCAACTTTAAGCAAAATGACCTATAATGAAAACAATTTTACGATAGGCTAATTTACATAAAGATGAGTTAAGTTCCTAGGGCATGTCATCAACATTATAATGAAACAATGTTTGAACAAAATGACATTATTTGAGGACCTGCTGTATACCCTAATCTGACTGCAAGTGTACTACCACCTGGACTTTTGCAATAACTTCTGTGGTTACCTTGCCCACCCCCCATAGACTGGGTATTAGTCTATGTCCCAATACCCAGAATTTGTGAATATGCTACCTTAACATGTTTAAAGGACTTTGCAGATGTGGTTAAGGATCTTGAGATAGGGAGGTTATTCTGGATTATCCAGGTGGGCCCAGTGGAACCATAAGGTCATTATAAGAGGGAGGCAGGAGGATCAGTCAGTAGTAGGAGATGTGATAACGGAACCAAGAGGTTGTAATGATGTGAGGAAGGGGCCACGAGTCAAGGAATACAGGTGACTTCTAGAAGGGCAAGGAAACAGATTTCCCCCCGAAGCTTCCAGATGGAACGCAGCAGCCCTGCAGACACATCGATTTTAGATGTCTGACCTCCAGATCTGTAAAAGAATAAATTCATGTTGTTTTAAGCCACTAAGTTTGTGGTGAAGGAAGCTAATACAATCCTCTACAGGGTCTCCCTGTTTCCTGCCTTGTCTCTCTCTACAGGGCATTTCCCACACCACAGCAAGGGAGGTCTTTTAAAAATGTAAATTAGATGGTCACTATCCTGTTTAAAGCTTAACAAGAAGCTTCTCTTTGTATCTGGAACAAAATCCCAAACTACCATGGGCATAGGCCCCACATGACTACCTCTCCAAGCTCTCCATACTCCTTCACTCCTGCATTCCCGGTTGTCTAAAACATTCTGTCCCCATTCAGCTCAAAGTTCTCAGAAACATTTCCCCGACCCAACTTAAAGTAGTTCCCTTGTTACTCTCATCGGCGTCGCCCTGTTTGCTTGTCTTCACAGCACTCATCATTATCGGAAGCTATGCGTGTTTTACTGTTTATTTCTTCACTACTCCTTTCATCCAAGTTCCAGGCAACTAGGAGCTTAGCTTGTCTTGTATTTGCTGGATCCCCAACTCCTACAACAGCGCCTGGCGCAGGCTCACGGGTTCTCAGTAAAAACCCATCGCACCACTGAGCTCCTGGCGCTGCAGGGGGCCGAGGGGTCAGGCTGGCTGCAGGCAAAGGAGGGCCTGGCACACAGGTCTCTTGACCGAATCCAGAGGTAAAACGAAGACCGGGTTCCAGTTCCTCTTGTTAGAGGCCACTCAGCCTGGTCAGAGAAGAGGGAGAGTTCAGAGGGCTGCCACGGCGATTCATACAAATGACGATAATGATAATGAAAATAATAACAGCTAACGCTTATCCGGTACTTCCTATGTGCCAGGCCCTGTTCTAGGTATTTAATATAAATTCATTTACTCTTCACAGCCAGTGAAGTGGACACTACTCTTATCCTTACTTTACGGATGAGGAAACCGAGGCGTTATATTGTTAGGTAGCTGCTATAAGTTTCTATCAAACCTCCGACTGGGACAAGAGGATGTCTGGCGGGTGAAACCCTGGACGGCCCACAAGCCGTTTGGCTCCTTCCTCCCCCGGTACTGGACCGGGCGCCCGGAGCGCAGGCGCGGGGCAGGAGGGGCGGGGAAGCGGAGGCAGGGATTGGTGGAATAGAGTTGCAATCTAAAAGCGGAAGTCCTCCCCCAGCCTGGCCGGAACTTCCGGCTCCGAATGCTTAAGGCGTAAGCCGACGGAGAGGAGTCAGCGGAGCTGGGATGGTTCTGCTGGAGAGTGAGCAGGTGGGGTCGGAGTTGGCCCGCCGAGGCAGGGAGTCCGTTCGGGGCTTCGCTCGGGACCTCTGTCTTTTTCGGTGGGTGGGATTGGGACCTGACGCGGCGGGGACTTGGGGCTGTTTAACGGGGCCTGGTTTGTTGTGTTCCAGTTCCTGACGGAGCTGACCAGGCTCTTCCAGAAGTGCCGGTTGTCAGGCAGTGTGTTCATCACCCTGAAGAAGTGTAAGCAGCTGTGGACACGGCAGAGCCGGAAGGGACCTGGGAGGCCGAGCGATGCCCCAGCCTGGGTGCCCAGTGTCTGGGAATCATGAGCCGAGTCTGCGGCGTATCCCCGCCTTCCCTTACTTTCCTCCACCTCGTACTGGACACATTCAGGGCAGAGGGACCGGAGAATATTAGGGGTCGTGGAGGGTGCGGTTCCGGTTACAGTGGGGCCCAGCATGTCATGGCTCTTCTCCTGGTCAAGGATCCCAAACCCCGCCACTGTTAGTGGAAGTAGCAAGTACTTTCCCTAGTTTGGCCAAACTGGCGATAACGTTGGATGAGGTGGTTAACAGAACTAGAGCAGTGCGGGTGGATTAGGTATCCTCTTCTGATTTCTTAATTACCTGTTAATAACATCTGTGGCCGTGTTCACAGGAATGTGTTTTTCTTGCAGATGATGGTCGAACTAAACCCATTCCAAGGAAAGGTTCAGTGGAGGGCTTTGAGCCCTCAGACAACAAGTGTCTGTTAAGAGCTACTGATGGGAAAAAGAAGATTAGCACAGTGGTGAGTTGGGTTTGTAACACTACAGTTTTGGAGGTTAAAAACTTAAACTTAACTGAGTATGCGGCATATCTGAACCAGGTTATTCTCTCTTTTTTCTTTTAAATAAAGGCAAGTTACTCTGTAACTCCCCAGCTGTTTTGGGATCAGGGCTTCCCCCCCCCATCCTCACCAGAGGATGTTTTTATTGATTTGAGAGAGGAAGGGAGAGAAAGAAACATTGATGTGAGAGAGAAACATGGATCAGTTGCTTCCAGTACGTGCCCCCACGGGGGATCAAACCTGCAAACCTAGGTATGTGTGCTGATTGAATCAAACCCACAACCTTTTGGTATATGGGATGATGGTCTGGGATGACAGCCACCCGGCCAGGATGGGATCAGCGCTTTCTTTTATTACTGTAGTAGAAAACTCAAGAACAAAATTAAAATGAAGGTAGAAGTCAAACACTTATTCTGTTGAAATTTTTGTGGAAATAAAATTAGCAAATTGGTCCTTACTCGTAGTAGCACTGTAAGAGCAGTTGGCATAAATATATGATTACTTATGCCCTTAACTTACTGTGCTGGGCCTTCCATGAACAATTTCTTGTAACCAGATGATGCTTTTAAGCTGGTTATTCCTTTTCTTTGTGGTTCACATAGTAAGCAGGTAGCTATATGTAGGCTTGGTACTTGAGAAAGTATAAATTTAGAGCTCTAATGTTCCCTTTCAAGGTGGAGGCTGACTGGTGGTAAAGCAAGAGACTCCCTGGATTCTGAATGAATACAGGCATTACTTCTTTTTTAATCCTCACCTGAGAACGTGTTTCCATTGATTTTTTTTTTAAATATATATCTTTATTGATTTCAGAGAGAGGAACATCAGTGATGAGAGTCATTGATTGGCTGCCTCCTGCATGCCCCCAACTGGGGATCGAGGCTGCAACCCCGGCATGTGCCCTGACCAGGATTTGAACCTTGATCTCCTGGATCCTAGGTCGATGCTCAGCCACTGAGCCACCTTGGCCGGGCTCCATTGATTTTTAGGGAGAGAAAAACATCAATGCAAGGGAGAAACATCGATTGGTTGCTTCCTGTATGCATCCCAACTGGGGATCGAATCTGCAACCTGAGTATGTGCCCTGACTGGAAATCAAACCCACCACCTTTTGGTGTATGGGACAACGCTCCAACCAATTGAACCACATCAGCCAGGGCCAGGCATACCTCTTTTTATTGTGCATTGCTTTGTCGTGCTGCCAGATGTTGCATTTATTCTAAATTGAAGGCAAGACCCTCCACCGGCAAAAAGGTGGTGACTGCCTTATTGTGATCCTCGCTTTACTGCGGTGGTCTGGAACCAAATTCAGTGTTTCTGAGGTATGCTTGTACTTCTTTATTCTGCTAGGGCCGAACCAGACTTCCCTCCCAGTATAAGATATTCATGAGATTGGAGATCATAATTAGCTGATGCCTCCCTTTATCTTGAGAGCACATTTACAGTAAAGCTTATGTGGTTTTCAAAATAAAGTTGGGCCCTAANTAATTAGCTGATGCCTCCCTTTATCTTGAGAGCACATTTACAGTAAAGCTTATGTGGTTTTAAAAATAAAGTTCGGCCCTAGCCGGTTTTGCTCAGAGGTTAGAGCGTCAGCGCTCAGACTGAAGGGTCTCAGGTTTAATTCCGGCTAAGGGCACATACCTCAGTTGTAGGCTCCATCCCTGGCCCCAGTCGGAGCGTGCAGGATGCAACCAATCAGTGTGTCTCTCTCGCATCGATGTTTCTCTCTCATTCTTCCACTCTCTCTGAAAAGCAATGGAAAAAATATCCTCGGGTAAGGATAAAAAAATAAAAATAAAGTTGGGTATCACGAAATACGAAAACCTAAGGAATTTTTAGAGGTAGAATTTCTTGTTGTGGTAGCTTGCACTTTGCTTAAATAGGCCTTCATTAATGGAAGGTAGGTTTAAAAGAAGATGGGGAATAGTTTAAATGTATCTTGCACAAAAAATTAGTACTTAGCCCTTTCACATCTCTCAGAACCCAGGGAGAAAAAGTCAGTGCCATGTGTGTAAGAGATTTCAGTAGAGGTGAGAAGCATAGCTTCTTTAGGAACCTGCTTCTGCCTCTTTCCCATCTTTGTACAAGTCTCATGTGGGAAAAAAAAGTCCAGAGCTACTTTGCTTATACCCCAGGCAGAGGAAAATGGAATAGAGGAATAGCCTTTAGTGTATCATGAACCCTGAGGTTGGGAAGAAATACTTTAACAATTAGGATGTTGTCTTCATGAGGCTTTTGGGTTGTTATCTATGGTGAGGCAGGGGATTCCTACATGGATACTAGGGGTCACCGTTTTTCCCCCTCCTTTTCCAGGTGAGCTCCAAAGAAGTGAATAAGTTTCAGATGGTGAGTTTCTGCTGTTCCCTGTGTTCCCTTTCTCGGGGCAANGGTGAGCTCCAAAGAAGTGAATAAGTTTCAGATGGTGAGTTTCTGCTGTTCCCTATGTTCCCTTTCTCGGGGCGAGTCAGCATAATATTGAACACTAGGTTAAAATTGATATTTAGGTTCACTGCTCTCCTATGTTTTACCAGTAGTTTACGAACAAAACCTGCCAGGCTGTGAATTTTACTCTCAACTCTGATACTGTCTTCCTTTTTAGTTTTTATAAGCTAGATTTTGCCATCTTAGGCTTCAGATATGCTCTGCCTATAGTAAAGTTGAACAAAAAGTTGCCTGTGTTTATCCCTTTTTGTTTTTTTAAAAAATGTTTTAATTGATTCCAGAGAGAGAAAGACGGGGAGAGAGAGAGAAGCATCAATGATGAGTCATTGAATGTCTGCCTGCTATATGCCCGCTACTGGGAATAGCTCCTGAAACTGGGGCATGTGCCCTGATTGAGAATCAAACCCTGACCACCTGATTCATGGGTTGACACTCAACCACTGAGCCATGCCGGCTGGGCCCCTTTTTGCTTAAAAGAGAAAAAATGTGTAACTCACTGCGGGCGAGTGTTGCAAAGCTGCTAAAATGTGAGCATGTTTTCCTCTTACACCATTTTCCTTTAGTGGAAGTGTCCCATGGTATATGCTTCATCAGGCAGACTTTCTGATTTTGGCTACACGAAAACCATTATGGAAACGGGGCAGCTGCTCCACCAGTTTGTAACTCTTCCCACTAAGTCATGCCTTTGTGTCTTTTAGGCTTATTCGAACCTATTGAGAGCTAACATGGATGGGCTGAAGAAGAGGGACAAAAAGAGCAAGAGTAAGAAGAGCAAAGCAGCACAGTGAGGGGCACCGGATTCCCTGTTCTCACTAACCAACCACCGAATCGCTATTTTTCCTTTGGTTTTTCCTTTTGGCCACACAGCTAGGTTTCTGGTTCCCCTACATTAACTGTTTTCATGTGAGATTAGGGTCATTTTGGATGGAAGAGCTGTGATGTTATAGGGTAGTTACAAGAAGCCAGTTTATCTGAGATCTGGCTAATTGGTCTGTGTTGCATAGTTGTACATTCCTGGATTACCATTTAAAGTCTCTGCAGCCGTCTGTGAAGACCAATGTAGTTTATCAGCACTGATATCTCCTCTTTTCCCTCCCCGTATTAAAAGTTTCTGGCAATGAGTACTGATTCTGGAATGATGGGATTATGAAGAGGCTTTAGCCCAATCTTCTAGGTTATTGGAATCAAAACCTGAAAATTTTGTTATCTCAAGGCTCCTCTTCCCAACTGGCTATATAACTTTATCATTATAGTTCCTTTAGCAAATTTGAGTGAGTTCTCATTGCCAAATGAGAGTTTGCTTAACCTCCTTAGGATAAGCATATTACCAAATTAAGAATAAAGATGACAGTTAATGCTATTTGATTTCTTTATGCCCTTCAGCTTGGACATTTTCATGTGCTCAGGCATCGGGACTAGGGAGAACAAGGCTGTTTTCTTCTAGTTCCACAGAACCTTTAGTGTCAACAGATTTGCGAGTAAAAAACAGCAAATATATGAAAGCATTTATTCCAAAAGATAAATTTATATATATACACACATATATATATATTACACATGAAAAACACAAAGTTCAACTTTGTGTGACAGCTTCTTAGAATGTAAAGTTAATTTAAAATTACAGTGAACGTACAACATTTTATAGTTCCTATCTGAACAATGTAATGACTGTTCTGTAGGATTAAAATAAGATTCTGTAGTAGTCATCTCTGTAGCTATACAGGAATAGCACGGACACCCTGCAAAAGAAGAGAAAAGGCAGGATCAGTATAATGGGTGAAGAACAGGGTTAATAAATAATTATCTTTAGAGCACCTAAATGTAGGGGTTTTGTTTAATCAAAAACAAGATGGAAGGCCAGGGATTAACATTACACACGTTTTACAAGCTGTGACTGATTGGCAAAGGTCTGCAGTGCAAGGTCCCACTCAAAGAGACCACCTTTCGCTTCATAGGCTTTGCTGTTGCCTTTTAAGCGGAAGGTATCAGCTGGCTTCTGACATGAGGACATAAAGCAAAGTAGTCACAGCTGTTTTCTATTATGTAATCATTTCTAGGCGTTACCTGGGTGATTAAAGTTATAACTGGGACAGTTACTCCTGGGTCCTCTGTTTCATTATTGACAAGACTGTGACTGATTCAGTCTTGAGTTGCAGTTCTAACAACAGCTTATCAGCCATCAAACCTCAACAAGACAATAAACTATGTCACTTTAAAACCCCTCCTCGAGTTTTAACCCATTTGGAAATCTGCGCTGCCCAAGTGATAACTTACTTTTTTTCTACTTTGATGTTATAAATTTCATCACAGACTAATTTCAGGTATCTTTGCTTTGGCAGGCGTGACAGCAGCTGCTTCACAGTTGTGTTAAATGCCTGTTCATCAGCATCCCACTAGGAAAAAATTGATAACAACAGGTACTAGGGTTTATTAAGTGGCTTTTTCTGGGTCACTATGAAAGGCCAATGCCATTCCCCCCTTTGAATATACTGAAGAAATCTCATAGGGAGGTACTACAACTGGTGGGCAGACTGTTGGGGTTCGTCATTTAAAGCATCAGTTTTCTTTACAACAGACCACCTTATTAGATCCTGATTAATGATACTGCAGCTGCAGTGTGCTGATGTGACTTTAGACCAGTCATTTCTGCCCACTGCCTACTTTGTGCACACCACCTCTGATGTGCATCCCTTTGAATGGATCATAAAGCAAAGCATTGTCAGTACAGTGGTATATGCTTATTTACAAGATAACAAAGTGTATGAAATGTTCTGGGGCAAAGTTAATTTTTCATCTGATTTAATCTGTGACTAAACACTCTGGATAGACAAAGTATTTGATATGACATGTTGGAAAACCACCTACAGCTATGATAAAGTTCTTATTTGGTTATTTGATAATTAGGGTATGTACCTGTAAAAAAAAAAAAAAAAAATACCTAAATTAATTTAATTTTTACAAAAAGATCTTCCATATAGTTCCAGTTCTACAAATGAGCTTTCCTAGTTGGAATGAAGGTTTGACGCAACAGAGCACATATATGATTAAGAACACATATTCTACCACTTTGCCTACGTTCAAATCCTGGTTCTCCTATTTACTGGTTGGGTGACCTTGAGTAAGATATTTAACCTCTCTACTTCTGTTCTCTGTAAAATTGGTATAATGGTACCTCTCTCTTGGGGTTGTTATGATTAAATGAGTTTAATACTTGTAAAATGCTTAGGACAGTGCCTGCCAAAGCCTGACACAATAAAAAAGCACTAGGTATTTGTTAAATATAACCTCTGAAATTTAAAAGAAAGTCACTAGACAAGTATGATTCCTTTAAAATCTGATTTAGTAATATATGTGTCACATAAAGGAATAATGTTATCAAATTCCTGCCACTGCCAGAAAAAAAATACCTAGTATCACTAAGAAAATAATGCTATTTTCAGTTTTCCTTTGGCAAAGCTTTGGAATTTTAAAAACTATAATGCAGAAGACTTCGTTTTGCTTACCTCTAATGATAAAAATTGTAAGATTGTTTCTTTGGGTAGATCCACCTGTCAATACAGAGAAATGTCTGTCACCTGTCAGAGAACCCACGGCAGCACATCCTGACTTGTGACGATGGTGTCACTGGAGGGAGCCACATGATGAGTAGGGCCTGCAGAGCCTGGGACGCTACTGTGCTGTAGAGCAGACCTAATGAACCTCACATGGATAGATCTCAGCCCTGGCGAATGAATACTCCTGGTTCCCACGCGCTACACACACTCCAAAGGACTGACAATGCTACCTGCACTCAGTGTAGGCTTAGTGAGGCAAAGGCCTGAAACACTTAGAAAAATGATTTTTGTTTTCACTTCCCCTCCATCTTTCAGAAGAAGGAAGTAGGAGAAACAAACACAAAACCTTCAGTCTTCTCCCCAGTTCTTTACAGATTTAGGTTACATGTGGTTCACATCAGTGAAAACAGACTTGTACCCCAATACTGCTGACACTGAGCAAAAAAGCCCCAACCTCTGAGGAAAACTACTTTGACAGTACAGACAGAAGCCATCCTCAGAAGATTAAAGAAAGCAACTTACAGCCAAAATTTCAATTTCACTGCTTTTCTGATGTAAGTTGGCAAGGGAGGTCTGAAGTCGGGTTTGTACCTAACAAGAAGAAAACATGTCAGAATTCAGAACCTGTCAAACCAAGGCATCTTTCTTGCCATTTTACATCCTATTCCAGAACAATCACTGGTAACAAACCAAAGCCTAAAAGGGATCCCAAATATTACCCTAAAACTTGCTCTTAACCCACCTCAGAAAGATGTATGTGTATCCTATTATAATCTCAGGAAATGAGATTTTATAGCCTATCTTTATAATTTGTTTAATAATCCACCTAGTTGCTGATTTTTTATAATTTTGAAATGACACCTAGTAAAAGTTCAGTGTGGTGAAACAGCGCGTGGGAGCAGGGAGATTTCAGTATTAAGCTAAATTTGGAAAAAGGGGAAGGTGACAGCAATGAGAACATGGAACTGAAATATGGTAGAAAGATGTGAAAAATGAGATTCCACCCAACATCCTGAGAAACAGCTAGGAGAGCTTACAAAAACGAGGTAACCTCATCTTTTGTATTTCAATCTAATTACATTTCTAAAAAAATGACTGCTAACACTCACCCTCTTCCTAAGCGGTGGGGTCCTGACTGGGCTCATTAGCACTGTCCATACTGCCCCTCGCATTTGGAATACCCTAACCTCCCCCTGCCCATTTCAGTCCTTCAGGGCCCACTGCCGTGAAGCAAACACTGATCTGTCTCTCCCACATGTCTGTAGTACACCCCAACACTCAAATATATTTAATTCAGCATTCTGTTACTTAGTCTCACCTATTCTCCACGTATAAAATGCATATGCTTCTAAGATTATAAACTCTTTGAGGAGTGGGGCCATGTCCTATGTCTTATATATTTTGCATGGCACTTAACACAGAATCAGGCATATAGCACACACCAAAAATATGTATGCAATGAGAAGCCTGCCTCAAGTCTTGGGAATAGATCTCTTCTGCTTTGTTATTTAAAGCAAAAACAAACCCCATCTGCCATCAGAGCCAGATCAGAAAGTTTTGCTTAGATCTAATAATTGTGACAGCTGCTTCTAGGTGCCCACAGTCCACACTGACACCTCTTTGGAGGGGAGATGGGACGAAGTCCTGGCACCAGAGAGATGCTTTGTGTTGATGAAATGTTCAGAAGTCACCAAGTTAGGGAAGTGGGAAGGAAACTATTTTTCAGGAAACATTTTTATTTTCCTTTCCTGTTTTCTTCCTCCTTTGTAGCTCACATTAGAAAGCCTTGGAAACTGCCATGTACCTGAGTTTCATACCGCCGCCTAGTGCTGGCTGACAGCTTCTCCGGGGCTACCACACTCACAGTGGGAACAACTGCTGTTCCATGGATTTCAAACAGGCCTGAAACAGAGAGTTGCAGAATTCATGGCCTTATCTGGTCCTATGTTGTGTAACACAGTGAGAGGACAGAGATAACAGAATCCACTCTGGGGTGACTCGATGGGCTAGATTATGTCTGGGCCTTGTTTTCTCTCTGCAACTGCCTGCACTTGCCCAGGGAGAACCCAGAACCTCAACACCCAGAAGTTTTGATGCTTCTTTTAAGGCCAACAGCCTTCTCTCCTCAGGTGGGTGTGGAAAGTGACAAAAGCATAGGGAGCAATATGAGTCACCAAAGCGTCACGAACCTATGAAAAAATCAAACATTGTCTCTGAAACTCTAATACTTCCTTAAATTTCTCAAAGTACTTAAAATCTGATGGTGGGAGAGAGTGAATGCTAACAGAAATGAACCAAAAAGACCCAATTCTGTTCAAAGCCAAATGTGTCTTCTTGTGGACTTAATTAGGGCATTTCTTTTTCAGTATGATAAAGGTGATGAAACTAAAGGCTTAAACGTTGCAGACTGACTATTTCAAGCCAGAACTCGCCCATGCAGCTGGCTACTTTGGTCAGCAAGGTGTTGAAAACTACTTAAAGTAAGTGCAGATACAAGTTATTTTGTGACTGGTCAGCAATGTTTGGACACACAAACACATGTATACCCGTGACCAGTAGGCAGGGTGTTCTATCACCACTGTTCCCACTTGGATTTCATGAAAACAAAATGTATATAGTGTCTTCCCCAAGTGATTTCAAAATACTTTCCTTCAATCCTCTGTGGGGAAAATTTCCAGGAAAATTATCCACATTTAATAAATCTATACCTAAACCAAGCTGAAGAAAGATTAAACCACTTGTAAAAATAAGTCAGTATGATAAAGAATAGCAGGATCAGAAGTTACCAAATGCCCAGTCATCGTCT